ACTGTCAGGTATTTATAGTTTTGAATAAAAAACAAGTCATTATTATAGTTATCCAATCCACACACAGGGGGTTATTACCATTTGTCCAGTAGGGAAGCTACACAATGATTCTGGAATATTCTTCCCAAAGCTGATTAGATGGAATATATATAATCAGCTCCTTCTGAACTTCATAGAACTTCCTCACATTCACCTGTATACAATCCTCACATTCTGAAAAACAAAACAAATTTACTTAGTATTGTTTGTTTGGATCTTCCCATTGATGTTTTTAGGAGTGCAACTGGTCAGTCTCTAATTGGCATATGTGCATACTGTGCGTATTGCTTCGATATAGCCTTAATTCACAAGCATGGTAAGCAAAGATGGATAGTGGCTAGCAGTGGAATCCAGTTTGACGCGCGTTTCGTCCTATTTAGATAACGTGATGGCGCTTGAAGCGAAAGGTACAGGGTTCGAGTCCCAGAGTGAACACCAACTCTGAGATGCAAGTATATTCAGCTGACGAGTCCCAAATAGGACGAAACGCGCGTCCTGGATTCCACTACTAGCTACTATCCATCTTTGCAAAACAAAACAAAGTTTAAAAACAATATTGAAAATTTTTTTTCTCGGATATGCGTGATCTGATTTCATGATTCAAAAAGAATTCTTGGATATATTCAACAGATAGATTAAATGAATCTTTTCTTGTTTCTATTGTGTTAAAATTAAAAAAAAAAATTGTTGATATTTTTAATCCATCATTAAATTACTGTTTATTAATCATTAATAATCTGGGAAAAAATAAGGAAAAAAAAAGTTTTTTTATTTATTTTATTTCCAATAAAGATCTTTAAGAACAATCACCATCTGGACCGGTGTGAATAGAACTAGATAGAAATAGTAAAAAGTTTAATTGAAATAAAGGTCAAGGTTAGTTATGAAATAGTTGATGTTTGAAAAAATAGAAAAAAATAATGGTGAATAATTAAAAACAAAATTTTAACAAAAGAAATATTATTTATAATAAATAATTAAATTTATATGATGGGGTTTATGGGGATTGTAGTAAACTGTAGGTTTCATTACCAAGTTTTGATTTGATAATTCCGAATAATTAGAACGGGATTTTGTGAAGATTTTTTTTAGCGATTTTATAGTTGAATTCATGTGTCAATTGAAGCTAGACAACCATGGAAAAACTGGAAGCACTGGACCGCCGTTTTTTCCTATTGTGGTACTCTTCAGAAGTGCGCATCCACGATCCCACCTTGCAAGATTCGAACTCAGGACCAACCAGTCTCGCGCCAGAGAACTTAATCGATAGACCACTGAGCCATAATAGAACGAAACGGCCATTCAGTGTTTCCAAGTTTTCCCTGGTGGTCTAGCTTCAATTGACTCACGCTTTCAACTATGAAAAATACTGAAATCTATACAAAACCCCTTCTGATAAAAAATTAAAACAAAACACATTTTTATCAAAATTTCCCCCCTTTGAACAAGACTGTCATATATAGAGTTGTTTTAAACAACAAAAAATTGTTTCCGAGTAAATGACAAGATATATCCTTTTAATAAACTGGGTATGTCATTTAAATAACCATAAAATAATACAAGAATAGAGATAATATTTGGGTATGAATCTTAAAGGTCATATTGTTTTGAAAAAGTTTTTTTGTTAACTTTTCTTCGTAACTAATAAATAATAAATTTTGATGAAAAGTGAAAATTTTCAAGAGAAAAATTTATTTAGTGCCTAGAAACCTGAAGGATTTTGCAGGGATGGTGTATTCTTAACATTTAGGAGTTCCATCACGGAACTAAAAAACCCTGTCCATCTTCTTTCGTTTTTGGGTGTTTATTTAACAAAAGCTAGTCAATGAAGCAAAACACTTACTTACTTACTTACGCCTGTTACCCCTCGTGGAGGAGCATAGGCCGCACACAAGCATTCTCCATCCAACTCTGTCCTGGTCCTTCGTTTCCAGTTTTTTCCATTTGTTATTCATCCTTTTCATATCTGCTTATGTTTCCCGACGTAATGTGTTCTTTGGCCGACCGTAATAATTTTCACAAGCCCCTATACTTACAATCGTTATTTACTTACTACTGACTAACTTTGAAAAATGATAGTCATGTGACAGCTTGGAATTAAATGAGTTAGAAATATAAATAATCTGATATCGCTTTTATTGTCTTAGGGTTTACCTATCCATTCGAAACATTGGGTCTGTTCCTGGATAGGTGACCAGTGTAGACGGCATATAAACCAGATACTAGGCAGAATCAGTTCTCAAATGCTCTCTGATTTTCACCGGTACTACAAATGAAGTTTATCTGTCATGAATACTACACACAAATTAATTCTTTTTTCGTAACTAATAAATAATAAATTTTGATGAAAATTGATAATTTTTTAAAATAAATTTATTCCGTTCATGTTCTAGTTTCGATGACCTTGGGGAACTGCATTTGTTTCCTTAAAAAAAAGTAAATTATGGAAACATTTTCAAAAACTCTTCTCCTGATTGAGATGGATATTTTGGGGAACTTTGTTTTATTTCCAAGCGTAAATTTTCAAATGTTTAGATAAACTAACCATGATTAATTTGAGTCACTAAAAACACGCTCTAGAACTTTCAATATTGTTTGTCAGTATAAGGTTGTGGACATTGTTAAGTTTTAATTGAGATCATGAACCGATCAGTGTTAGACTACCATTGACAAGCTGGAAGGATAAGACTCTTCAGCGGTGCCCATAAACGATCACGCACGTGAGAAATGAAGCCAGGACTGTTGGTTTTGCACGAACGTTAAACCACTAGACCACTGAGAGGACATCCAACAGTGTTAATGTCCAAATCCAACCAATCCATGATATTGGGCGACCATAGTCCATGTCAGAAATTGATTCTAAGTAGACAATCATTGAAAGCTTAGATTCACTGATCGGTTGTTCATATAGAGCAATTTCTTGTATACAGACTTGGTTTGATCAAATCGGAGTTTTTCTTTTACATACCTCTTTTTTATTTACAAGATTACTGATTATAACACAGTATGACTGTAATTTTCATAATGAAAATAAATCAGAAAACTGTCGGAAACCAAGAGATTTTTAAGCAACTTTACTGAATTTACTTGCGATTGATTAGTTGTGAGTACTCATAACTCCAAAGATGAATGAATCAGTGATCATCACATATAGCACAGTGAACATAAAATTAATGAATTACTGATTCGACGTCAAGTAGCTCGTATATTCAACCTTGGACTTTTTGTGATACAGCAAGATTACTGTTTTAGATGATAAATGTCTCAATAATAATATCCTCGAGTCCATGAGTTACTGTATCTTATCGATATCTTATGAACACTAATGAACAGTTAGTTGATAATGAAAATGTAATTATTAATTATGGGATTTTGTGCTAAATATTTAAAAAGAACAATAAAACAAGCATGCGATTTTCTTTAATTTTCTATAGTTCTTCAGTTGATGTGAGGTAAAAATTCAAAATAATTCACACATTATATGAAATTACCATATAATAATAATAATACTTTCATAGTTGAAATCATGGTTCAATTAAAACTAGACTACCATGAAAAACCTGGGAGCACTGGACGGGTTCAAATCTCGCGAGGTGGGATCGTGGATGAGCACTGCTGAGGCGTCAAACAATAGGGCGAAACAGCCGTCCAGTGCTTTTAGGTTTTCCATGGCTGTCTAGCTTCAACTGACTCATGATTTCAACTTTGAAAATACTGAAATCTCCACAAATCCCCTTCTGATAATAATAATAATAATACTTCTTGATGATATATTCACAATTTGGAGTTATGCTTAAGTATACAAAATTTTATTTTATTTATTTATTTAAACATAAATATTGGTACAAGGAAGCACCAGATAAATATGCGCCTCACAAATCTCATTCGATTTGTGTGAGGGCTGTGATACCGCCCAGGTGCCCAGACTGAAGCAGGTGGTTTTCTTAGGGGCCACACCCGGAGCCTTTGACCTAAAGGTCTAGTCCACAAGGCAGTGGAGCATCGTAAGGAGATGCAGTCCCATAGTAGCCGGTGACCAACGATTGATTCATACGCCATTTGTTCCATCAGGATACTGGAGCACATATCCACGATTGGTTTGGAATCAGGGTTTTCCAACTCTCCTAGGTGGACTCGCCTTGTCCACCAACCCGGTTTTATCATCGGACATTCGCTTTTCGTCCTCTCACTTTTGTGAACAACGCTGTGGCCACGGGAAGGCAGTGAGTAGGATTTCCCTGGCAGAGGCTATATATTCGCTGGCCATGTGAGAGCATTTCGACAGGGAGAGGTGACTCTCCCCACTCTCAGCCGTACCAGGACATTTGGGGGCAAATATACAAAAATATACAAAAAAGCGGTAAGAAATTCCAAACTCCCATAAAATATTGTAAGGAGATTTAATAACTAATTAAACAGTTCAGGGTCACTAGGAAAAGTATTGGTTTAAATTCTATTAAAAGCTAGAACCCAATTTTATTTATTTGGTCACTTGCATACATTTTCTAGGAAGTTTTTTCATTATAACAGCTATGATTTACTGAGGTTATACAGTAGTGTATATATATGCACCTTTTTCATATCTAAACAAATTACCTGTTTTTAATCATCATACATACTAAGTTTCAAAATATAGTCTGGTACAGTCATTTACACGAGCAACGGGTTCGAATCTCGTCAGGCGGGATCGTGGATACACACTGTTGAGTAGTCCCACACTCGGACGAAATGGATGTCCAGTGCTTTCAGGTTTACCATTGTGGTCTAGCTTCAAATGACTCATGATTTCAACTATATATATATATATAGAAAATAAATTTTGTTTAAATATTACTATAACCATTTAACTGTTTTATTATTGGACAGTTAATTTAACCAATGAAATTAATTTCTGAAAATGTTATATTAAATTGAATATCATTAAAAGTTATTGTACTCATTTTAATGATACCTAATAGTGTGTATGGGATTCTATAATAATAATAATAATAATCATATTAACTATTATTCTTTATTGTGTACTGTATTATTTAATTTCATCAAAAGAGGAAAGAAAAGTTTCTATAATTGATAGTCAATTCATTCTTAAATGAAGTATGTTATGTTAATTTAAAGTGCATTATGTTTGTAATTTATTATTTGTGTAGTGAAATACTGTTTGTTTCCATCTTAAACCTACCCTGGTAATATTAGCTTAGTATCCAGAGTGATTAGGTTTCAAATTGTTATTATTAGTATTATCCTTGTCTCCTCCTCCTCCCCCCCACTTCTAGTATAGTTGACCAACAATTTTTATAAATCAACGGTCTAAACAAATATATGTGTGATGAGATTGTTCAAAATGTATTGCGCTAATATGTCACATAGTTCTGATAATCTTCGTCTTATTATTACACTATCAAAATTATTATTTATGAGATAACAACTCATTGAAGAAAATTGGTGAACGGTTGCTTAAACTTCGTGGATTGGTTGGAGTTGGACATTGATACCGTTGGATGCCAGCTCAGCAGTCTATCGGTTAAGTGCTCTAGCGCGAGACTGGTAGATTCTGAGTTCGAATCTCACGAGGTTGGATCATGGATGTGCACTGCTGAGGAGTCCCATGATGGGACGAAACGGCCATCCAGTCCTTCCAGGTTTTCCATGGTTGTCTAATTTCAATTGACTCATGATTTCAACTATGAAAAATACTGAAATCTCCACAAAACCCTTTCTGTTTATTATTTATTATTTGAGTGCTCATAAATAAGACTTGTTTAAAAAATAATCATTCTTTATAAGTTTCAAGCAAATGTTAAATCTAAGGAAGTGAAATTATCATAATAGGATCATTTTGAAATAGAGAGAACTAAATAATGAACAAAATGAAATGAAGTTAAAAATGGACTAATTATTACTTCTCAACTAAGTGGTTCAAATGTATTCACTTACTATAATACTTAAATGTCAAGGAAACTATTACATATTCGAGTAGGTGATTCGCGATGATGAGAAAAACACAGATATCTTATTTCTCTAATTCTAATTGGTAGTCTATCTGAATTTCTCTATGTTATGGAATGTAAATTAAAGTGATTACAATTTTGAAAATCAATCGTATTATTACTGAAGTTTTGAGGAACGCTTTCATCAATTGTCTTCAGTGAGTCGATATCTCCCAACAGACATGGTTGAACTCCACTGGTCACTGCTGCCCACTGGAACTCCAGGAAATATCTCTTGAAGTCAGACACCAGTGAGCATATAATTATAGATCAGAAAGTGTTTTTGTGGAGAATTTAGTATTTTCATAGTTGAAATCACAAGTCAATTGAAGCTAGACCACCATGGAAAACCGGGAAACACTGGACGGCCGTTTCGAACTATTGTGGGTCTCTTCAGCAGTGCGCATCCACGATGTTGCTTTGCGAGATTTGAACTCAGGGTCTACCAGTCTCGCGCCAGAGCACTTAACCGATAGGCCACTGAGTCGGCTTGAATCCAACGGTGTTAATGTTTAACTGACTCCATCATGTTTTTCTTGGAGTTCTAGTGAGAAGCAGTAACTAGTGGAGTTCAACCAGGTCTGTTGTAGAGATATCAACTCACTGAAGACATTGGTGAATGGTTGCTCAATTTCATGAATTGGTTGAAATTAGACATTAATATCGTTGGATGCCGGCTCAATGGTCTATCGTTTAAGTTCTCTGGCGCGAGACTGATAGGTGCTTTATTACAGATTTTATATAAATGCTAACCCAGTGTACTTAGTCATCAACCTATGGAAAATGAATTTAAGTTTTGAATAGGATAAGTAGTACTTTTAGTGTTATACATAAAAGTCTACTCAATTTATTCAATTTATATCATATATTGTATTGTGTCTTAAGACAAATCACCATTTATCTTCTAGTCATTATCGTTTTTTTTAAAATTCTTGCTGTCAAATGTTTAACTTTTCACTGAGAAAAGAATGAACAACACAATCATTCTATACACATACATATGGAGGTCAAGTTTATGAAGAATATCTTGTAGCCATCTAGACACTTTTAATTTTGTATAATTCAAAGCTTATTCAAATAATTTATAATTTCTTAATGATTTTCAGCTTGAGAATGACTAAACTCTCCCGTAAAGTTGGAGATTAATTTATAAAGAAGCTTGAAGCATCTGAATACTTTTGATAAATTTGGATAGTGTAATAAGAAGTCGAAGATTAACAGAACTATGTGATATATGTAACCAATACATTCTGAACACACATTGTATACTTATTAAAATGACTTAAATGACTCAATAAGAATAGATAATAAACATACATCATCCTTTATTACCAAACACATAATTGAAATAGGTTATAAAGTTGATGCTAACACGGATTTTGTGATGTTGTACAAAAGTGTAAAAAGGGCATGTACCAAGGTTTATTGTTGCCTTAATCATAAGAAACTTCAAACCATTTTCACTTATTCAAAAATAGTTTATTTCCACTGTGAACCTGCTCTGATAATATTAGTTTATTATCCAGTATGATGAGGTTCCTAATTGTTTTTCATTTTATTTTGTTGATTATCTTTATCTCCTCTTATCCTCCATTTCTAGTCTAATTGACCTACAATTTTTATATATAAATGTTCTTAGTAAGTAAATAATGTGCGATCAGACCGTTTGAAATGTAATACGCTAATATATCACATAGTTCTGATAATCTTTGTTTTCTTATTACACTATCTAAATTTATAGAGAAGCATTCAATCTTTAGAAGAATTTAATTTTATTCTTCAAAGTGTTTTTCGATAAGCTGCTTTAAATGTATTGTAACCACCGCAATTTTTAAAAAAGCTGAACGAATGCCAATAAATGTTAGTAATGACAAATAGATTTTAATTATTACTGAAATATTGAATTCTTCACAGTTTACTCATAATATTCTCATTAGATTTACTATGTTATAAGATTGATATATATATATATATATATATATATATATATTATGGCCGGATTCCTACGATTGAAGAAGATATGGATCTCAAAACAAGTGTCAACCAAAATCAATGTGAGAACATTCAATACGAACATCAGGACAGTTAGTTCCATTGTACAGAGCTGAAACGTGGAGAGCTGTCACAACCGTCATCGAAAATGTACAATAATCCATCAACATTTGTCTACACAAGCTACCCAATATCCGTCGACTCGATAACATCAGCAGCAGCTAACTATGGGAAAGAATAAACCAGGTTCCGTCTAAAGAGGAAATTAGGAAAAGATGTTGGGAGTGTGTGGGACATACATTATGGTAATCATCAAACTGCATCACGAGGCGGTCGCTAACTTGTAACTGTTAAGGGAAAGGGAAAACAGGAAGGCTGAAGAATACACTACGTCAGGAATTGGAAGCAGATATGAAAAGGATTAATAGGAAGTGAAAATAACTGGAAATGACTGTTCAGAACAAGGTTGGATGGAGAATGTTGGTGGGCGCCTTATTTTTCTCCATAAGGGGTAACAAGCGTAATATATATATACATATCTGAGATTTTGTTATGGCAGTTCTAATCACCATTTATCTTCATCTTTATCTAGGCATTGCAAAATTATGCAGTCTGCATGATCAACCACTCATATTAGAAATCATTTTTAATGAATTAGTAATAAATTACTTTCTCTGATCTCATTTACAAATGGTAAGTTACAGCTAGTCTTACATTTTATTTCATTATTATACTTATTTTTGTTATTGTAATGTATTTCATTATCATGATCAATGTAGAGAAATGCCGCAGAATATTTGATTGCGAATTAGTAGTTAGAATGAAAGACTCAGTAACTCTAATGACTCTAATGGTAAACTATAACATTGATTATGATGAAATTGTTAGAATATTCATTATACTACTGAGAAAGACATGATTATTATATCTACGTTACTTAACATATTCAATACTTATATATTCAGTATGAATTAGTTAACATCTGTTCTATACATCTGGAAAATTCTATTACTCTTAAGAAAGAATAACAATTATTAAAAACAGATTTGTTATTGGGTGGTCACAGTAATCTAACTATAAAAAGTAAATTCTATCTGATATTACACTCAGTATAGATAGAGTATTATTTCATTGTGTATATTATGTTATAGAGGCTAAACTCAAAGTAAAATACAGTGTACAATTATTACTTACATTTACCATTATTTTGATAAAACTGTGTAGATATTTTGTAGAAAATAACTTTATAGATTGATTGGCTCAGTGGTCTATCGGTTAAGTGCTCTGACGCGAGACTGGTAGGTCCTGGGTTCGATTCTCGCTAGGCGAGATCGTGGATGCGTACTGCTGAGGAGTCCCACAATAGAACAAAACGGCCGTCGAGTGCTTCCAGGTTTTCCATGGTTGTCTAGCTTCAATGAACTAATGATTTCGACTATGAAGTTTGATTAATTTCATGATATCGATACACTGAATTGTTTCCATCTACGTTCTGAATAACAAAGTATGATTACGGTAGATAATGATTCAAAGCATTACTGATATGCTTTTACATTAAGTACAGCACTTTAGTGGTCTTAACACTCAAATTCATGTTAAGTTATACTATAAAATTTAATAATAAGTATATTAACGTCTAATATTCAGGGTTGTAAGGATTTAAATAGTTTTTAATCCAAACAACTTAGGAAATATGTGGGAGAAATTTGACAAGGTATTTTGAATACTACATTTTTAACCATGTCATAGGGAGGAAGTTAATAACATGAAAAAGGGAATTGGAATATCAGTGTTTCGAATGATAGTTAAGAACCAAACGCAGAAAGTGTATTCTAAGTGGGATGAATGAATAGGAAGCTAAAAAATAAACTTATTTCGAACTACACAATCCAAGTTCTCTAACCACAAATCACCATCAACTTTGTATTTTTAACCAGGAAATTGAAGTCTCTTGATATGGTTCAAATCACTAGTCAATAACTGCGCGAGCTTATTTTAATTGTATGTTTAACCTGACTAATGTTTTTTCAATCTATCATTATTGCTATTATTACTACTACTATTACTATATTAGTCGACAGTGCAAGTTTGAGCAACGATGCTTGGGCTTATGTAACATCTAAATTAATCATGCAAGTTTTGAATTTATGAAAGCCATCATAATTAATAATTTAACAAATAAGTACTTAAGAAAATCTAATGCACATAAGTGTTTCAGTTATACTATTTCTTATTTCTTATGAGGATAAAATTATACATCTTGAGCCAGTAAATTAAATTAATGTTAAGTCGTGGCCAGTGGAGCTAATCCATGTCAGGTAGAGACAGGTATCTACCTTAGTACATTGGAAGTTGGTTGCGCAATTTCGTGGATTGGTTGAGGTTAGACATTAACACCGCTGGATGCCAGCTCAGTGGTCTATTGGTTAAGGGCTCTGGCTTGAGACTGGTAGGTCCTGGGTTCGAATCTCGCGAGAGCGGGTTCGTGGATGTGCACTGCTGAGGAGTCCCATAATAGGACGAAACGGCTGTCCAGTGCTTCCAAGTTTTGCATGGTGGTCTAGCCTTAATTGACTCATGATCTTAACTATAAAAGAAATTTCTTTGTTATCGGTATAGGGATTTTTTAATAGTTGAATTCATCAGTTAATTTAAAATAGACCACCAGTGAAAACCTGAGAGCACTGGATGGCTATGTTGTCCTGTTGAGCGACTTTTAAAAAGTGCATATCCACAATTCTGCACGCGGAACTCGAGCCCAGGACTTTGAGTCTCGTGCTCGAACGCTTAGTGTCTTAACCGCTGAGCCGTCATCCAAAGGAGATTGTAGCATGTTCACATATTTAGACGAGACGGCTGTTCAGTGCTTTCAGGTTTTCAATGATGATCTAGCTTAGATCGACTAATGGATTCTACTATTGAAATTTCTTTATTATTTATAGAGATTTTGCAATTACAGTATTATTGACTTGTCTGGGTCAAATTAATCATTTTTCTAAAATACATTTATACATTTATTTTGCCTGAAAATATGTTTTAGTAGTCTTGTAGGATTAAAAACGACGGAAATGACTATCAGTGGAATTTTCAATGTATATTTCATTTCTATTCAAGACTTATTATCAGGATGTATTTACTAGCACATAATAATGATATCACTGTTCTTTATGGTACTTATAAAATCGTGCATGTAATAACATTGATAAATCATTTAATATGATTATGAATATGTGAAGTATCCATTTGAAATTCCTGAACAATGATCGTCAAGATTTTAGAAATATGTCTGTTTGGTGTACCATGTTTGTAAGCTGGACATTGATTACGACTAGGCGATTTTATCAGTGAATGAACACAATTGTTCAATAAAAAATCACTTGATGTCAAAGAACCCCAGTGATAAGGACTCATATTGAGAAAAAAGGCTAAAAACCCTAGGAAAAATGGCTATACTTTTAAGACTGAAGATACATCATGCCGATCTGTTAACTAAAATAAAACCTAGATACGTAGATTAAGTATTATGGTCTCTAAATACCTAACGTGAAAACATGTTGTCCCTTTAAGTCAATCTAAATAAATTATCCATCACAATATGCTTGATCATCACTAAGAACTAATTGAGATCACACTATTCAGTATTTAGTGATCCATAGTGTTAAATTCGCATACTTTGTGAAATAAGTTTTTATTTCAATCTGTTATCTTAAACACTTTATTGTCAAACGACAATTAACATGGAATAATTAATAAAATTCTATGTAGGTAAACATCTCATCTCATTTTCATTGGTTTGTGAGTTAAAATGTACAGAATATTAATGATGCGAGGTATGATACTTTACTAGTGCAGGAATACTATGCGCCAATACATGTTTTAATGTGAAATGTTCCAACTAGTTTGACTTGTCTAAAATACTCATTTGAAATTGTCTTTATAACAACCAACATAAATGCGGCGATTGTGTAGCAAAGGGATCTTTCACTTACTATAGAAATTTGACTCAACTTTATATTTTCATAGTTGAATTTATTATTTATTTATCTAAACACATAAATATTGGTACAAAGGGGCAACAGATATATATGCGCCACACAAATCTCATTTGATTTTTGTGGGGGCTGTGATACTGCACAGGTGTCCAAACCGAAACAGGTGGTTTAGTTAGGAGGCCACACCCGGAGCCTTTGACCTAAAGGTCTGATCCACAAGAAAGTGAAGGATCGTGAGGAGATGCATTCCCATGGTAACCGGTGACCAACAATAGGTTCATACGCCGTTCGTTCCTTCAGGATAATGGAGCCCATATGCACCATTGGTTTGGAATCAGGTTTTTCCAACTCCCCTAGGTGGATCCTCCACATCCACCAACCCGATTAAAGCGGCAGATATTCGCTTTTCTTCCTTTTAATTTCGTAAACAACACAGTGGCAACGAGAAGGCAGTGAGTAGAACTTCCGTGACAGAGGCTATATTGTTGAATTAACGAGTCGATCTAAGCTAAACGACCATTGAATACCTCGAGGAAATAGAAATCCTTTTCGTCCTATTATGTCAAAATACTGCAATCTCCACAATTCCTTATACTGATAAATTGTATATATATTTTACTCTATTTAATTGTATACATGACTAACTTACAAATGTGTCTACTTGTATATGTATCATAAAAATTCGGGAAAATATTCGTCATTTCATACTGATAATGTATAAACTTTTCGTCGAATCAACCATATTCATATCTCTGAATGAATTTTATTACATAACCGTTTTGTCCCATTTCCAAATGTCATACAAATAAAATTAGATTAAAGATGGTTTCCTTTTCTCTTCAATACAATAATGATAAAACACTAAACATAATGAAGTATACCATTTATTACATTTAGTAAAGATTATCTCATTATTTCCCTTTACTATCATCATAGTATCAACATTTGAATTATTACAATTATGCAGGTTATTACTTTGATAGCAACCAAAAAAATTACAGTCACCGTCCATTCCAATCTTCTTCTATATGCCGTTAATGTAAGGCACATTGAACATATATATATATATATATATATATATATATATATATATACACACTTTAACTGATTACCTAATTTGAAAATTACTATAGAGTCAAATATATTTAAAACACAATTAATGACTATGAAATATGTATTTGTATTTCATTGAAAGTATTCAGTTACTATGGTTGATTTACGTTTATCTATTAAACATAATATTAATCATTTTCAAGTCACTATTTAAAATGGAAATAAAATAGTAAGAATATCTTGTAAAGGGATTAGAATAAATGTAAACTGTACTTTTATTTATGAGAGTAATTTTTGGTGTCAGAAAAATCACGTGCTTATCTATACATATTGTAATTAGACAGAATATTTTGATTAGTAAGATTATGTAGTTGAATTCATGAGTCATTTGAAGCTAGACCACTATGGGAAACCTGGAAGTAGTGGACGGTCGTTTCGTTCTAGTATAAGACTCCTCAGCAGTGCACATCAATGATCCCACTCTAGGGATGCGAACCCAGAAATTTCGATATCGTATGCGAACGCCTAACCTCTAGACCACTGAGTCGGAATTCAACAGTGGATGCTCACTGCTGAGGAGTCCCATAATAGAACAAAACAGCCGTCCAGTGCTTTCAGGTTTTCCCTGGTGGTCTAACATCACAATTA